TCCCCCCCCCCCCCCCCCCTTGCAAACAAAAGGCTGGCTTCAGCCTGCAGCCCAGAATTCAGCTGCAGGATTGGCAAGCTTCGCTCTCGGAACTTGAAAGACAGGCAGGTGGGCCATCTAGAAACTCTCCTAGGGCCGGCCAGTCTAGAAAGCTTCAGACACCCATCAATAGGAGTCCTGGCTTTGTCAATGGAATTTACCTTCTGCCCCATTTGTGCTTCAAAATGTTGAAGGTGCTTTTTTCAGCAGGTTTAGCACTTCTCACTGAAGTGCAGCTGAGAGGCTCATGAAACTGCCTTAGTACTAATCCCAGATTCCTGGAAGGGGACAGGGTTTTTCCTGGCTATAAACAGATACTGTGGCTGGATTCCCCGAGCTAAACTAGTAGCGACCCTCTGGCTTGCCACCATGTACAACCATGACAAAGCTTCTGCCAGCCAGGTAGGGAATCTTTTTTCCCCTGTGGCTGTTCAAAAGGGTTGGTGGAATTTGAACAGGGTACCTTGTGGTGAGCAAGCTGTTGGAGCTTGGAACCTTTTCCTTTCCCAGTGTCTTCAGGAGGAGGCGAGGGAGCCTGGCACACAGCAGGACTGTGCCCCAGCAGCTGCCATATCTGTGGGTCTTTTTTGCCTGACCAAGAATTAAGTCTTCAGGGCTACAGGAGCCATGTAAACTGGCTGACACTTCTCATTCCCTGGACAGTGGCTGGAAGCAAAAATTGCAAATCTCAGTTTAGAGTAGAAACCTTATTAGCAACTTTTGCACAGTGGTATTTGTTCATTTCTTCTCTCATGCCCTACTGGAATCTCAGCCCCTCACCACCCAGCAGCATGGCGGTGAAGTGTGTAATGCCCATTTGTAGAGTGTAGGTCTGATGCAGATATTTCCTCTCTGCCACCTCGGCAGGGGCAGGAGGACTAGTTGGTTTCTCTGACCCAAGTGCTTACGTCTGCATTGATGGCATGAACACTTAGCGATGTTACTGGAAGCAGAAAGGACCAAAACAGTGTTTTTTAAATGTCTATTTATATATGCTCTCCGTGGCACTATGTTATCCGCTGTCGTCTGCATTAGAGTTATAACAATGTGTGCATTTGTAATAGATGATGCTAAACGTCTCTTCAGGGTATCAGAAGGCACTTTACCCTTTGAGGCTTCCCCGGGGGTGGAGTTCTACTCTCTCTGACCACCCAAGTAGCCTTTTTTTGTGCTTGGCCAACCTGATGTTCCAGCTTTGGGGGGGAGGGAAACAAGATAGGTGGGTGTATTCCAACTCTTAAGGTGCTGCATCACCACTACAGATTGCTTTCCAGCCATGGGCTTCAATGGGTCCATCCCAATTTCCATGCCTTGCTAAGCTTTGAACCATGCCTGGTGCTTGTGGCTTCACATTTGTGCCAAAACAAAGGGCCGCTACCAGTGGCTAGTAGCAAGGTGGGGTGGGGGTGGGGTTATCAGCCTTAAAACCTTGTTGCCAATATATGGGCTCTTACCATAGGAGCTTGGTGCTAAACTCTCTTCAGAGAGCAACTGCAGCCCCCAATCTGAGTGGGGATGGGATGGGCTCCTGACCATTATCTCTGCTCTCATTTTGATGTCTGGACTCTACTCTGGGTTCATCTTTTCTTTCAAATTCAGGGGTGATCTTAAATGTCAGACTTGTAAGGTTAAAAAAAAAAACTGTCCCCAAAGTGGATTCTAGAACCCTCTAAAGAAACAAGTGGCCTGCTGAAATCCTGAGACTTGGCACATCCTGCTTGCTGGCTTTGCATCCACGGTGTTCCTCCTTTCCCCACTTCTCGCTGCGGTTTGACCCATGTAACTCCTACTTGGGCTTCTTCCATGTGACAGTAGATCAAGAATTTTTCAGTCTCCTTTCTCGGGTGTCGTGGCTTTGGAAACATCTCATTCTGAAATTTTGTTAACAGTTTTGGTTTTTTATTTTTTGTAAGTGCCATTTGTATAACTTAACTAGCTTGAAGTGGAGAAACAGACAAATAAAAACCTGCATTTGGAAATGAGGAAACTGGTGAGCACTTTGTTTGTGACTGTGATTCTGTGGTTTGTTTTTCTGCAACATGCAGTCGGAATGGGCTCTGGTAGCTAGAGTTGCCTTTATTTAGGACCAAGATAGAGGGGTTGGCACACAGAAATGCCAAGTTTCATGCAAACTTGCTAAATAGCAGATACCACCAACTCATCCTGCTGGGGGTCAGAACACATGAAGTCGATGTCTATGCTATGTCTTGTTGCTCAGGGGTGTGAATACCCTGCCCCCCCCACCCATGACAAGTGTTAGCAACAAAGGGCTGGAGAGGACAACACATGGTCTGCAGGAGCTCAGTGGAACACATTGCTGGGTGCGCTGTGCAGACAGGAGGCTGGGTCGTTAACAGACCAGCCTAACACTGAGCCTGTCTTGCTTCTGTTCAGACCTGCCCTTGGCTATGGAGAACCTTCAAGGCCCAGAAGGAGTCCTAAGTAGAATCCAGCTCTGCTACCCAAGTAACTGCCTGGACTAGACCTCATTGTATCCTTGTGCTTTTGTCCAGCTGCTTAAGACCTTCTGTTTTGCCTTTAGGAGTCTAAAAGACTATTTAGGTCAGTGATAGGATGGAGGGGAGAAGGGTACTATTGCCTTGTTGGAGGTGGACTCCGTGTGCAAGCACACCCAATGGCTGTAGAAGAGTAGGAAGGCCACTAGGTAAGTCTCACCTGCAGGGGAAACACTCCAAGCTGTCATGTTGTCTAGTCAAACACATGGCAAAGCTTAGATGTGGGAGTAATGCCAACTCAGCCATGTGTATGTGCCAGTAAGGCCACCATGTTGCTCAGCATGAGCAGGTGGTGATGATCCTGTAGTCACCTGTCCTGCCCTTAATGCCTAATTGTTGATTCTCTGACATGGCCTCTAGCTAGAGGCCAACATCCATCTGTAATGCACAACCACATCCCCTCTCATCACCCCAAAGCAATCACTGGTACTGCCAGCTCTGCAAAGAGTGCTTTAAGCCCCCCTTCACTTGACCTTGGCTTGCATCCAGTGGGTCCTGGACCAACTGTTCTGAGCAGAGAACTCATGCTAGAGGGGAAACTCCCAGCCAGGTGGGAGCAGGGTACAGCAGCCTAGTGTTAAGGTTTATTGGTTTAGGGCATTGATGTGAGGGTGAAGAAGTTTGATTGACTCTGGCTTGTTGCCTGTTCCTTTTGCAAGGTATAACAGCTGACCAGCTCTGCTTCCTGTTGGCTGCCCTCCCATTGCCCCCCATGCTTAAGTTTGTATTTTTTAAGTTTAAGTTTAGTTTTTTTAGTTTGTTTGTTTGAATAAAAATAATGTCCTCTGAGTATTCAATAAATGTTTGCTTTAAAAAAAAAAATTCCCTGGGGTGCACACCCTAATGCAATGTGCTGTGCACACAGGTCAGAACTAGGTTTTTGCCCACAAAAGCTCATGATACTATAAAGATTTTTATTAATCACTAAGGGTACCACAGGATTATTTTTAAGTTACTGACACCACTACCCCTCAGTAAGAGCAGGAGTCTAGAGGAAGAATGTCTGTATGATACTCTCTCTCCTCCACCCCCAGAAGCAACAGGGCAGGGTTTCATTCCAAGCTTTAAGCCTGTAGCATCCTGTGTCCCTTGTTAGAGCAGCTACACCCTCAAATGCAGAGGCAGGTTTTGAGTCAGTGCAGAGACTTGTGCAGCTGTTCACTTCTGCAAAACTCCCTTCAGATGAGGGCTTCAATTCAAAGCACTCAAGGCAGTGTTTTGTAAACCATGTTGGCAGTTGGAGGTGTGCTGTGGAGAACAGAATTAAAAATGGCTGCCCTAAAAGGCCATTTCCCTGACTTTGGGGGGGGGGCTCAAAAAAATCCTTGGTGTTCCTCATTTAAAAAAAAAGTTTGGTGTTCATTGGTGTTTAAGTTTAAGAAACGCTGCTCTAAGGGCCTGCCTGCTGTGGCTTAGCACCTCATGTGCCTGGTGCTGTTAGAGGTGCCCCCTCCCCCCAGCCAGTACTACCTGATCTCATGGGAAAAGCCACAAATGGCTTTTAACCTGCTGTGGTGAGTGTGCAGCCTTTTCCTTTTCCTCCTGACGCTAAAATACAGGCAGCGCGGGGCAGAGGCAAGAGTTCCTCTGAAGCAGCAATAGCCTTGCTAAAGCAGCTGGCTCCTAGTAGCAGCTCGGTTTGCTGAGGGCTGCCCTAAGCAGGCCATCGGCCCCCACCTGGTCCTGCTCACCAGAATGTCCTACACAAAAGGCTCTTGTTCTAGTCCCATCCAGTTACCTGCCCCTGTGTAGCTGGAAGCTGGGGAGGTGCAGCCAGGAGGCAGGGAGAGGGTGTGCTCAGCCAGGCTGTTCCCCAGCTGTAGAAGCAGCTTTTTGTGCAACATTTGGGGGAGCTGCAGTGAGAAG